GAAAATAAGAACAACCCCAGGTTTCTCTTCAGCACTGTAGCCAGGCTGACAAAAAGTCAGAGCTCTTTTGAGTCAACCATCCCTTTAACGTTAACTAGTAATGACTTCATGAACTTCTTCACAAATAAAATTTTTATCATTAGAGAAAAAATTACCAGTAATCATCCCACAGATGTAATATTATCTACAGCTACTCTTAGTACCATTGATGTTAAGTTAGACTCTTTTTCTCCAATTGATCTTTCTGAGTTAACTTCAATAATTACTTCCTCCAAACCTTCAACGTGTCTTTTAGACCCCATTCCTACAAAACTGCTCAAAGAAGTCCTGCCATTAATTAATTCTTCGATCTTAAATATGATCAACCTATCTCTAATAATCGGCTATGTACCACAGGCCTTCAAGCTGGCTGTAGTTAAACCTTTACTCAAAAAGCCATCTCTAGACCCAGCAGTCTTAGCTAATTATAGGCCAATCTCCAACCTTCCTTTCATATCAAAAATCCTTGAAAGAGTAGTTGTCAAACAGCTAACAGATCATCTGCAGAGGAATGGTTTATTTGAAGAGTTTCAGTCAGGTTTCAGAGCTCATCAGAGCACAGAAACAGCTTTAGTGAAGGTTACAAATGATCTTCTTATGGCCTCTGACAGTGGACTCATCTCTGTGCTTGTCCATCTAGACCTTAGTGCAGCATTCGATACTGTTGACCATAATATCCTATTAGAGCGATTAGAACATGCTTGTAGGTATTACAGGTACTGCACTGCAGTGGTTTGTATCATATCTATCTAATAGACTCCAATTTGTGCATGTAAATGGAGAGTCCTCTTCACACACTGAGGTTAATTATGGAGTTCCACAGGGTTCAGTGCTAGGACCAATTCTGTTTACATTATACATGCTTCCCTTAGGCAGCATCATTAGAAGACATAGCATACATTTTCACTGCTATGCCGATGACACCCAGCTCTATCTGTCCATGAAGCCAGATAACACACACCAATTAGTTAAACTGCAGGAATGTCTTAAAGACATAAAGACCTGGATGGCCGCTAACTTTTTGCTTCTTAATTCAGATAAAACTGAGGTTATTGTACTCGGCCCTGAAAATCTTAGAAATATGGTATCTAACCAGATTCTTACTCTGGATGGCATTACCTTGGCCTCCAGTAACACTGTGAGGAACCTTGGAGTCATTTTTGACCAGGACATGTCCTTCAAAGCACATATTAAACAAATATGTAAGACTGCTTTCTTCCATTTGTGCAACATCTCTAAAATTAGAAATATCCTGTCTCAGAGTGACGCTGAAAAACTAGTTCATGCATTTATTACTTCCAGGCTGGACTACTGTAATTCATTATTATCAGGATGTCCAAAAAACTCACTGAAAAGCCTTCAGCTAATCCAAAATGCTGCAGCAAGAGTACTGACAGGGACTAGAAAGAGAGAGCATATTTCTCCTGTTTTGGCTTCCCTTCATTGGCTTCCTGTTAAATCCAGAATTGAATTCAAAATCCTGCTCCTCACATACAAGGTCTTAAATAATCAGGCCCCATCTTATCTTAATGACCTTGTAGTACCATATCACCCTATTAGAGCACTTCGCTCTCGCTCTGCAGGCCTACTTGTTGTTCCTAGAGTATTTAAAAGTAGAATGGGAGGCAGAGCCTTCAGTTTTCAGGCCCCTCTTCTGTGGAACCAGCTTCCAGTTTGGATTCGGGAGACAGACACTATCTCTACTTTCAAGATTAGGCTTAAAACTTTCCTTTTTGCTAAAGCATATAGTTAGGGCTGGACCAGGTGATCCTGAATCCTCCCTTAGTTATGCTGCAATAGACGTAGGCTGCCGGGGGATTCCCATGATGCATTGAGTTTTTCCTTTCCAGTCACCTTTCTCACTCACTATGTATTAATAGACCTCTCTGCATTGAATCATATCTGTTATTAACCTCTGTCTCTCTTCCACAGCATGTCTTTTATCCTGTCTTCCTTCTCTCACCCCAACCGGTCGCAGCAGATGGCCGCCCCTCCCTGAGCCTGGTTCTGCCGGAGGTTTCTTCCTGTTAAAAGGGAGTTTTTCCTTCCCACTGTCGCCAAAGTGCTTGCTCATAGGGGGTCATATGATTGTTGGGTTTTTCTCTGTATCTATGAAGCGCCTTGAGGCGACTTTTGTTGTGATTTGGCGTTATATAAATAAAATTGAATTGAATTGAATTGAATTGGGATGCACACAGGGCCTCTTTTGATAATGAGGTAGCATGTTGCCAGCGATCCCTACACGTCTTCACAAAATCTGCCACGTTAGTTTTTGGAACACCACCGCTAAGGAACCCCTCTTTCAACAACTTTAGTGGGCCCCACACATCACGGCCAAACACAAGGGTAGCTGGGCTGAACCCCACGGACTCCTGCTTAGCATCGCGTATCGCAAACAGCACAAAGGGGACACCCTCATCCCAACTCCTGCCCGTGTCATGGCAGCACTTTTTCAGCATCGCCTTAAGCGTCTGGTGCCAACGCTCAAGTGCACCCTGCGACTCTGGGTGGTAAGCACTGGGCACAGAGCGAGAAATGCCAAGGGAGTGTAAAGTCTATTTAAATGCTCGGGATAAGAAGTTAGTTCCCTGGTCTGTTTGCACTGTTTTTGGGAGACCAAAGGTGGTAAAAAATTTGATTAGCGCCTTAGTAATGTTTGCAGTGGTGATCCTCCGCAGAGGAATTGCTTCGGGGAATCTCGTGGACAAACACATTATGGTCAATAAAAACTGATTATCTGCCCGTGTTCTTGGCAATGGACCAACACAATCCACCAAAACGTGTTCAAATGGCTCACCAACAGCAGGTATTGGACATAGTGGGGCGGGGGGCACAGTTTGGTTTGGTTTGCCCACTAGTTGACACGTGTTACAGGTATTACAATACCTTGCAACATCTGCCTTCATTGCCGGCGAGAATAAGTGCTGCAGAATACGGTCATACGTTTTAGTTATCCCCAAATGTCCTGACCAGGAATGATCATGGGCTAATTGTAGCACATGCTGACGGAGACTAGCCGGGACCACTATCGGTTGGACTACACTTCAGTCCTCCCCTGGCTTTGAGGTCCACCTGCGCATTAACAATCCATCACAAACAAAAAAATGTCTGCTTCCTGTCTCCTGTCGGACCATCACTCTCATCTATGGCGGCAAAACATTTGGCTAACGACGGGTCCTCTTTCTGAGCATCATAAGGGCCCCCCGTGTGAGGAGGGGGAGGGGGGGGGCTGCGGGTTCAGGAGCAGGCTCAGCTACCTCTTGAGCCAGTTCCTTGGCATCAGGACCCACCTCCTCCTCGGAGGGCATCATATCCTTTTCCAAAATAGAGCCAGTCACCGACTCTGACAAGTCAACCACTTCTCCCTGCCGATGGGCGTGTGACCGGGTAAGAACACCTACAGGAAATACATCCGGGTGCTGCCGGCTTAAAACATCTGACAAAGGCCTTGGGTCAGGAGTCTTCGTGACCTCTGGGGTAGGATAAACCTTCCCGCCTGCTATGTCATTGCCCATTATGAAATCCACGCCATCAATTGAGAAGCAAGGACACACAGCCACAGGAAAAATACCACTTACTAGGTCACTCCGCACCCAAATTCGATTGAGGGGGGCAGGCACATAAGTCATCCCGACGCCTCTCACAATAACGTCAGTGCCACTGGCAGTCTTTTCATCAAAGGCAAGTGCACTGGCCAGCATGAGGGACTGTGAGCCACCTGTGTCACGTGAGATGGTCACAGTACGCTCATCTTCAGGCTCACTTGAGAGCGACACCGCTCCTTTGAAAATGAAGGGTTTAAAACATTCATCAGGAGTCTCAGTGCTAAGGGGTCTGTTAACAAGGGAAGCGATTTTAATCAGCCCTATCCCTTTTGGCTTACGTGGTGTTGAAGCTGGCTGTCTTCGTCTGTAGGCCTCGCAGTCCGCTATTAAATGGCCAGATTTAAAACAGTAAAAACATTTCCGGTCTGACCTGGGACGAGGCACAGGTACCTCTCCCCTTGTGTCTGGCTCACCACTAGCACCACTAGCCTTCGCTAGGGTGTCGCGTCGCTCATGCATAACGACACTGGCTTTATGGACGAGTGCGAACTCGTCCATAAAGCGGCCTGCTGCAACGTGGAAACCTTCTGTTCGTTCAGATATACTGTCATCCGCTCGGAGAATCAACTCCCGTACTGAAACTAGGTCTGCGGCTTTATAGGCCATACACATATACATATAAGTGTGACCTCTGTGTAGTGTCTTCTCTGGTCTGCATTCACAACAAAAAGGCAATGGTTAGAATGCTCTCTTTTTAATTTCGTGGGCAATCAGCACAAAATCTCGCAGGAATCCTCCATTATTCTGAGGATTACATTTCCACTTGCAGTGTGATCGTATAGTGGTAAATTTATACAACCAAAATAGAAAAACTTCAACACCATTAACATTGCATGTTAAATTTCCCAAATGAAAGGAATATAGAAATATATTTTAAAGCTGTGTTACAGAGTATAGCATGGTGGAAAAGGATGGAGAGAATCCCCCACTAAGCTTTTGGGTTGGCATTTCTTTAGATTTTGTTTTGTATTAATTGCATGCTTTGGTGTTTGTTTGTGTTTGATGTGAGGTGTGGGCGACACCCATGTGGGAGTGGAGATTCTACTTTAGTCCAGCTGCCAGCTATTTGGAGTTGAATACAGGGAGCAGCTGATAGGGGAGGATTGGAGCCCTTCTCTATAAAGGGGAGAGGAAACAGGAAGTAGGGGTTGTCGTTGTTTTTTTAGTAGGACACTGGTGAAGCAGGGAAGCCTCGAAGATCCAGGATGAAGTGTGCACATTTTAATGGAAAAGATTTTTAACCTGGCCTGGTTTTGCTTTTAAAATAAACTGAGGATGTTGGGATGTGAGTGGATGTGCTGGAAGGCAGGAAAACAAACACTGGACTGGAGACTCTCTGTGCCCCTGACAAGGAAACTGGACAAGTTTTGGGGAAGTTCCAGCTCCCAGGATGTGATGTGGAGACCCAGCCTCGAACGAAGTCAGGCCTGAAAAGGTGGGTGGCAAGCCTTTTTGAGGAAGCTGCAGGATTGATACGTTTTGGCTGCTTGTTCTTCCAAGTGACCACCTTTCCCCTGTTTGTAACCAGGCTAACAACCCTGACCGTGGTGGTTTTGGGCCTTGGATTCCTGGCCAGAGTTGTGTCTTCAGCCAGTAGTTTTACCCGGAGAAAGAACAAATAAATCTTGTGTAACCCATTACAGTGTGCGTGTGGTGGTTCGTTACTGGTCAATATTAGAGCTACTACTTTCTTGTACGGAGGCCATTTTGGGCCTTACGTAACATTTGGCGTTTGTCGACAGGATTTGTGACCAGTATACAAACCCACCTGCCTTAGACTGATTAATATGGCGGATGAGCTATCTGAAACCATTAATATGGTGTCACCATTCTTTATTGGTGCGCCCTGGGTACCAAAATTTTGTGGGCTTAACACGAATTATGAAGATTGGGCGAGCCAAATTAGTGCAATGCTCCGTGCTCAAAAGTGGTCGATAGAACAGCAGTGTGATTTTGTACTGAGTGCATTAGGAGGAGAACCACGACGTGAAATTCTTATTTTGGAGCAAGTGGAGCGGGATACGCCAGATAAGATCTTTCTTCAACTTAAAGAACTGTATGGGGATAAAACAGCTGTGGGTACCTTGCGTGCCATGTTTTATGAGTGCAGACAAAGGGCAGAAGAGCCTATTAGAAAGTTCACTTTACGTTTAAGGGAGATAGGCCATCGCCTGCAAACAAAAGAGCCACAAGACCCTCGGCGTGCCGACCTGCACATGCGTGATCAGTTTGTCTTGGGCGTCAGGGAGGGTGAGATACAGCACGATCTACGGCGTCTGTTAAGGCATGACCCTAATCTCTCATTTGAACAGGTGCGTAAAGAGGCTTTGCAATTGGAAGCAGATGCGCTGCATAGTTTATATGAAGACTCCGCTTGTGCCGTAGTAAAAGGGGATCTAAAGTGGCAGGATACCTTGAATTGGAAATAAGTCTTCAAGTAACTTAAAGAAGTCCAGACGCTTTTCTTTGCAAGCTCCTTTGACCTTGAATTGGAAAGATAAATTTAAAGTGGAGATTCTCGCAGAAATGAAGGAGCAAATTATGGATCTCAAGAATACTCTTCAGGAGGAGCTGAGGGAATTTGTTCGACCAGCACCAATGCCACAGACGTGTTCAGCTCCCAGAGGTGAGAGAGAAAGGCGGAACTTTAGTTCCTCTCAGTATAGGAGATGTGCTGAAGTGTCTGAGCCACCCCCAGCGACAAAGCAAATCTCACGGTAGGTGGAACGACCACGGCATAAGTGGGATGAACAAGGGCAGCCCATCTGTAGTAAGTGTGGAGCCAGTGGACACATGGTAAGAGAGTGTCGGGGCACTCCATCTCAGATGGCTTTAAATGAGTAAATCCAGTCACTATGGGCCAGGTGACTGGAAAGGATGACAGTGGTCCAGCCCAGTTAAATCACTCTCAATTTCTAGGGACATGCCGTCAAGTAGAGGTATTCGTTGATGGTAAGGAAGTGACATTTTTGCTATATACTGGGTCTAATGTAACATTAATGGCATAAGCCTGTTTTAGGAGATTGTTTGGTGAGTAGGAGCCAGGAAAAGAAAGCGATCTCAATTGGTTAAAGCTGAAGGCAGCGAATGGATTGGCTATTCCTTATGTGGGCTATGTGCTAGCTGAAGTACAGGTGGGAGGCATTACTTTGAAGGATATGGGAATTGTGATTTCAAAGGATGATCCCAATAATCCTAATGCATTACCTATCTTAGGTATGAATATCATCGTTCCATGCTGGGATATGCTTTTCTCGAAACCTCAGATACAGACCCAGACCTGGCCTGTTGGCTCAACTGTAGACACTCAACAAGCGTGGGCATCCGCTTTTCAGGACTGTCAGAGAATTCAGGCAGCTGCCCCTGTACAACAGGTAGGGACCCTTCGACCAGCTTATCGCCATCCGGTGATGGTCCCTGAGCACAGCGAGCAGGTGATTTGGGCCAGAGCCCCACAGACACTGAGGAAAGGACAATGTATTTTGGTGGAGCCACTGGAAGGGCCTAGTACAGTTGCTGTTGCTCGATCCCTAGGAATTGTCTGTAGAGGCTGAGTCCCCATCAAAGTAAGGAACCTCAACCCTTTTCCTATCACGTTATGACGTTACGAGGCCCTTGCTACATTCTCCACGGAAAATGTTGACATTCAGGAGCCTTTTGAAGTTACTTTTGAGCAAACCAGGCCAGGTATTGTTGAAGTTGGTGTACACCAAGTGAGCTCGGAACCACCTGGTAAAGCTCCTCATATTGAAGTTATGACACAAGGGAAGTCAAACCTATCCATAGAGGAGCAAGAAAAGTTAAATGGTCTCTTGAGGAAATGGGGCGATGTGTTTGCTGCCGACGAAGAGGATTATGGCCACACAGATGTAATCACGCACTCTATCCCGACAGGTATGGCACCTCCCATTAGAGAGCGGTACAGGCCAATTCCCCCTAAAATGTATCAGGAAGTGCGAGAGTTGCTGAATAATATGATTCGATCAGGGGTGGTGAGGGAGAGTACAAGTCCCTGGGCAGCACCCATTGTCCTGGTACGGGAAAAAAATGGGGAATTGAGATTTTGTGTGGATTACCGCAAGTTAAATGCAGTGACACATAAAGATGCCCATCCACTACCTAGAATTGAAGAGACCTTGACGATGCTGACTAAATCAAAATACTACTCCACTCTTGATCTAGCAAGTGGGTATTGGCAAGTGAAAGTTTCCGAAGCTGACAGAGAAAAGACTGCATTTTGTACTCCTTTTGGCTTGTATGAATTTGAAAGAATGCCTTTTGGTTTGTGTAATGCCCCAGCAACATTCTAAAGGTTGACGCAAAGTTGCTTGGGAAGTCAAATCACAGAGTCTGCTTTTGTATATCTGGATGATGTGATAGTATACTCACCGGATTTCAACAGCCATCTAGAGCATCTGCAAGCAGTGTTTACAAGATTGAAGAGCTATGGGCTGAAGTTGTGACCTGATAAATGTGTTCTTTTCCAGCAGCAGGTGAAGTTCCTGGGTCACCTGGTGAACAGTGAGGGTGTGGCTCCGGACCCTGATAAGATTGCCGCTGTACAGAAGTGGCCGGCCCCGCAGACTATTCATCAGGTGCGTTCCTTTTTGGGCTTTGCCGGTTACTATCGGCGGTTCATTGCAGGATTTGCAAGTGTTGCTAGGCCTCTTAACTCATTGCTGGTGGGAGTACCTAAGAATAAAAAACAGAATATTCCCATAAACTGGGATGAGAATTGTCAACAGTCCTTTGATCTTCTGAAGCAGAAACTGCTAGAGGCGCCTATTTTAGCTTTTGCTGATTTCAGATTACCCTTTCGGCTCTACACGGATGCCAGTAAAGTGGGCCTTGGTGCAGTACTTTCTCAAGTACAAGATGGGAAAGAATGTGTGATAGCCTATGCTAGCAGAAGCTTAGCACCCACAGAAAGAGATGATGCAAACTATAGCTCCTTTAAATTGGAGCTGCTCGCTCTGAAATGGGCGGTGACTGAGAAATTTAAAGACTATCTATGGGGGTCTCTGTTTACAGTTTATACTGACAATAATCCATTGGTCCATTTATCGACTGCAAAAGTGGGCGCAGTGGAGCAACGGTGGGTAGCGCAACTTGCAAATTATCAATTTGATATCAAGTACCGGCCCGGCCAGGAAAATGTGAATGCTGATGTTCTGTCTAGAATGCCATTACAGGTGCAACCCCAAGATCTGGTGTCCCCACAGAGGGTGGGTGAAGGAGCACGGGTTCAGGCTGTGAACATTGATTGGGATCCAGGACACTGGAAAAGCTTACAGGAGCAGGACCCCACGTTGTATAGAGTGAGACATTATATGGCCCAAGGAAGGACACCATCGGGGGAGGAGAGACGTCAGGAGTCTACTGCAGTCTTAAATTACATGAGACAATGGTCACGGCTGGAGCTGTTGGAGGGTGTGTTGGTCCGCAGGGGAGTGGATTCCAACACATATGAGGCTTATTATCAAATCCTTGTTCCTTTGCAGGAACAGCAATTAACATGGAAGGCTTTCCATGAAAGGAATGGTCATCTGGGGGTGGCAAAGACACTCTCAATGTTGCGCCGTAGTTTTTACTGGCTTCAAATGGAGAAGAGAGTGCGTGACTGGACAGCATCCTGTGAACGGTGTGTACGTCATAAAGGCCGTGGTGACGGTAAGGCCCCGCTTATTCCTGTTTTGACACACGCACCTCTCCAAATTGTGGCGGTTGATTTCCTTACACTAAGTAGACCGGCAGACTCATACCAGTACATTTTGGTTGCTACTGATGTGTTTACAAAGTACGCTTGGGCAATACCTACCAGGGATCAGACTGCTTCAACCACAGCTAAGATGTTGTTGAAACACATTATTCAGCCAATTGGATGTCCAGAACAACTGCACTCGGACCAAGGCACCAACTTTGAGTCCGCCCTCATAAAAGAACTCTGCCAGTATTATAATTGCCAGAAAAGTCGAACCACTGCCTATCACCCTCAGGGCAATGGGGCCTGTGAACGTTTCAACCAGACATTAATAAACATGTTGTCCACCCTAGAGGAAGAGAAGCGAACTCGGTGGGTGCAATACTTACCAGAACTGCTCCAGGCCTATAACAATTCTGTCCATGCATCTACAGGTTATACCCCCCACTACTTGATGTTTGGATGGAATGCTCGTCTGCCAGTTGAGCTGTCTATGGGGATGAAGAGATCCACAGAGCCAACAACCACCCAAGAGTGGGTTAAGAGACATCATGAGCGCTTGAGGCTGGCATACCAAATGGTGGAGAAGAGCAGTCAGAAGGCTGCAAGCCGGATGAAGGGCAGGTATGATGTTGGAGCTAGGGCAGCTCCATTGCTCCCAGGAGAAAGGGTTTTAGTCCATACAACAAGAAGGGATGGACAAGGTAAATTGGCAGCACACTGGGAGGAAGAGATCCAAATTATAGTCGGTCAGCCAAACCCTACAGACCCAGTTTACAGAATTCGGCTGGAAGGTAAAGATGGTCCTGTTAGAGTGGTTCATCGCAATCGCCTGCGCATATGTACTTTCCTACCTTCAGATGACTATAAAACAGGAGATGGCACCCCAGAACCAGAGACGACAGCCACGCATGACATAGCAACAGTCTCAGATCA